CACAGTATATTCAATCATGGGAGTGATTACATTAAAACACGGAGAATCATGGCCCAGCCAAGTTGACACACAATCTTAACCATCACACTATCAAAACAATTCTGGCTCATGGCGACCCCATGTGACAGAGGAGAACTGTCCCATAGGGTTTTCTTGGCTATGATCTTTACAGGAAGTAAATTGCCAGGTCTCTCTCCTGCGGAGCCGATGGGTGGGTTGGAACCGCCAACCTTTTGGTTAGCAGCTGGAGGCTTAACCGCCACGCCGCCAGGGCTGTATAGCAGGCTCCTAATGTCCTGTATAGCAGGTTTCTTTCCTCTAGTCCAGGATGCAGCCCGGGATCACTGACTCCCTTTAGAGTCTCCTTGAATCTGGAACAGTTCCTCAGTTTTTCCTCATCCCTCACAGCACAGGGATTTTTGAATAATGCAAGTTCATCCACTGTTTTGAATAGAATGACCCTCATTTGGGGTTTGTCTGAAGTTTCCTCATGCAAACGTTGAGGAGATGCATTCCCGGTCACAACACCACACAATCAACGCAGCAGCCGGCACGCCCCATCCACCTGTCCTCACCGGTGATGTTAACTGCTCATCCAGACACGGTGTCACCTGGTTTCCCCACTGGCTAGTTACCGTTTTTCTCTTGTTATTTATAAGCGTCTCTGAGCAGACCCTAAGGAGTCCTGGTGGCACAGTAGTTAAGCGCTGGGCTGCTAACAAAAAGGTGGGCAGTTCAAACCCACCAGCCACTCCTCAGGAGAAAGATGTGGTAGTCTGCTTCCATAAAGATGACAGCCTTGGAAACCCTATGGGGTAGTTCCATTCTGTCCTACAGAGTCCCTAACAGTCATAATCAACCCGACAGGAACAAGTTATACTTTCTGGTATAAAAAGATGTTCCAACTGTATCTTGTACCTTGTCTCTGCCCTGGAATCAGCTATTTCTCTGCAAAGTCCTGGTTCCTTTTAGTAGGTGTCTTAATCATCCAGTGCTGCTATAACAGAAATACCACAAGCAGATGGCTTTAACAAACAGAAGTTTATTCTCTCACAGTCTAGTAGGCTAGAAGTCCAAATTCAGGGCGTCACCTCCAGGGGAAGGGTTTCTGTCTCTGGCTCTGGAGGAAGGTCCTTGTCATCAACCTTCCCCTGGACTAGGAGCTTCTCCACGCAGGAACCCTGGGTCCAAGGGACGCGATTTGCTCCCGGCGCCCCTTTCTTGGTGGTATGAGGTCATCCTGTCTCTTTGCTCACTTCTCTCTTTTATATCTCAAAAGAGATTGGCTCAAAACACAATCCAATCTTATAGATTGAGTCCTGCATCATTAACATAACTGCTGCCTATCCCAACTCATTAACATCATAGAGGTAGGATTTACAACACATAGGAAATCACATCAGATGACAAAATGGTGGACAATCACACAATACTGGGAATTATGGCCTAGCCACGTTGACACACATATTTTGGGGGGACACAGTTCAATCCATGGCAGTGGGGAATGGTATTAGTCCTAGGCACTAGTGCTACTAAGATATCTTTGCTTCTAGTCCCCTTTTAGCAAAGAGTGAAGAAACATGTACGTGTACATTTGTACATATGTATACAAACACACACACATTTTAGAAACTATGAGTTCTAACAGATTCTTCCAAGGCCAGTTTATCCCCATACGGCTCTTGCTTGATCTGCTTGCTCCATTCCACAGGGAGAATCCTGTTTCATAATGATATGTGCACTCATTCCTACAGTGCACCTAAAACAATTTCAGAATTGCTTCACCCACACCACTACCAAGGAGTTCAGGATTTGTTTGACATTCCTCCCCTCTTCCCACACCTGACTAAAGGTGTGCATTTAAATACTGTATTAAAGAGTTACTTGCATGAATTATATTTTTACTTCCATGTGATTATATTATTCATTTATGAGATACAGCTGGTTTCATAGTTGGCCTCATCCTTATTGATTTTTTCCTAACTTTGTTGATGCATTTTTTAAATATGAAAACTATGAACTTGCTTCCAAAATTCAAAACTATACAAAGAAATAAACTTATAGAAGTGCTGCACCTTCTCCTATCCCATCTATCCTATTCTCCCACTCAACTCCTTGTAGGTAAACAACTTCATTTTCTTTTTCTTCTGGTTATCTGTCCTTTGTTTCTTTTTGTAAAGATAAGCAGATATATGTGTATTTTCTTATTTCCCTTCTTTCTTACAGACAAGGTCGTGTATTAAATATATTCTTTTCCACTTCGCCTTTTTTTTTTTTTTTTTTCCATTTAACAATATCTCCTGGAAATCATTCAACAGTTTGTTGAGTTTGTTTAGGGAACCAAAATTTTGATTCATTAATTTGATCCTCTTCTTTTTTGTTCTCTACTTCATTGTCTCTACATGTATCTCAGTTCTTTCCTTGTGCTTTAGTGGGTTGAATTTGTAGTATTTTTTCTAGCTTTTTGCATTGAGAGTCGAACTATTTATCTCTATTTTTATTTATAAAAAAGGTTTGTTGTTGTTGTTAGGTGCCATCAAGTTGATGCTGACTCACTGTGACCCCATGTGACAGAGTAGAACTGCCCCATAGGGCTTCCCAAGTTGTAATCTATACGGGAACAGATCGTCAGGGTTTTCTCCCACGGAGCTGCTGGGTAGGTTCAAACCACCGACCTTTCAGTTAGCAGCCGAGTGCTTAACCACTGCATCACCAGGACTTCCTATAAAAGGGTTTAGGGCTCTGAATTTTCCTCTGATCACTTTTTAGAATATACCTTATAGGTCCTGATATGTAGTACTTTTATCATCATTACTGGGAAACAGTAGTTTTAGCAACTTAAACCCCCCCCCCCAAAAAAAAAAAACCCTGTTGCCGTCAAGTCGATTCCAACTCGTAGCAACCCTATAGGACAGAATTGAACTGCCCCATAGGATTTCCAAGGCTGTAAATCACTTCTTTTGCCCAAACTTCCTCAGTCATCACTCTTGGTTGGATGAAGTTCTTTCCCTAATATATTCCTCAGGAAGGATGTGTGTAAACTATTCGCTGAGTTCCTGAACATTCGAAACTTTTCCATTGCCTTGATACTAAAGAACAGCTTGGCTGTATATAAAATCTTCGATTCACAATTTCTTTGTTTGGATTCGTTGAACTCCCCGTTACTACACATTTATGTTATTTTTTGAGAAGTCTGATGCCTAATTCTCTTGCACTTTAGATAATTTCATCTTTTTGCCATGACATCTAAGAGGATTTTATCTTTAAAATCTAATAGCTTTCAAGGGTATGTGTAGGAGTTGATGATACCAGGTCAATTTTCCAAGGTACCCTGTGGGTCCTTTCAATATGTAGATTAATATCTTCTTTTATTTCAGATAACTTAAATATTCTTTCCACATTTATAATTTTCTTCATCAGGGACTCCAACTATAGGTATGCTGGACTCCTTTGACTCCTCCATCTCAACCACTTTTTTTCTGACCCATTTAACTTCTTTATCCCATTCTCATTTTCCTTATTGCTTTACTAATTTCTTTCATGTCCTTACACTAATTTCTTTCATGTCCTTACTAAATTTTCATCTAAATTTACTCTTCAGTGTTTTATAATTAGTCTTAATTTCAGATACAATTTTGTCTTTTTTTTTCCTTTCCTGAGTCCAATAATTTCTAGTTTCATTCCCCGACCCCGCCTTTTTTTTGTCCACTTCCTTTTATTATAGTTTTTGAGTTTTAAATTCAAGGTCTTCTTCATTTTCCCAGATGCTTGTTGATCTTTCAGACTGGAGACATCAAAGTTCCAGGTTTTAGTGATAACAGAAAGACTACCTTAAGGATGTGGCTATTGCTATTCAAAAGAGTCATGGCAGCGCAATGGTTAAGTGCTTAGCTGCTAACCAAAGGGTTGGCAGTTCGAAACCACCAGCAGCACCATGGGAGAAAAGACCCGCTTATCTCTTCCCATAAAGACTGCAGCCTAGGAGATCCTACGGGGGAGTTCTACTATGTCACATGGAGTTGCTAAAAGTCAGAATCAACTCAACAGCACCTAACAATAACAACATTGCTATCCCTGCTAGAAAAAGTTATTCATGACTTAGAAAAAGTCATAGAGTTCATTGTGACAAAGGATAATATCATAGTCTCAAAAGGAAAAGGTGACAGGCTCAAGTGGAATAACACTTAAGATATCACTGAGAAGTTAGATAGTGTTGCTAATGAATATTAAAAGAACAAAATAAGCATCTGGTAGAACTTCCAGGTAGAGCAGCTGTGCTGAAGATTAATGACACATACGATGCAGTTACAGATGCAAAAATGCTGCACAAGATGTTGAAGACGGCAACATTCTGGGAGGTGGCTGTGCCTTGCTTTAGTGCTCACGATGGTGCTTGGCGCTAGTTGAGAATCTTGGATTTGTGGGTCTACAGCTTTTATCAAATTCAGGAAGTGTGACTTTAAATATTTTTTCTGTTTTCTCTTTGAGGGATTCCATTACACAATTTCAGGTCTCCTTTATCTTTCAATTTTGAGTAGTTACTATTGCCACGTCTTCAAGTTAACGAATCTTTTCTTCTGCAATATCTACTCTGCTTTTAATTCTATCCAGTGTTATTTTTCACCTCAGACATTGTAGTTTTCACCTCTAGAAGTTCAATTTTAGTCTTTTTAATACCTTACATGTCTTTAATTGATTTTTTTGAATATATGGAAGAGTTAAAATAACTGTTCAATAATAACAGTTTAATAACTAATAATTCTAACATTGTATCAATTCTGGGACAACTTCAATTGACTGACTTTTTTCTGATTATGGGTGTATTTTTCTGCTGCTTTGCATGCCTGGGAACTTTTGATTGGACGCCAAGCATTGTAAATTTTATTTTGTTGGGTGCTGGATATGTTTGTATTTCTACAAATATTCTTGAGCTTTGTTCTCAGATACAGGGTAGTTACTGGGAAACAGTCTGATCCTTTTGGGTAATGCTTTTAAGACTTGTTAGGCAGCACCAGAGCAGTGCTGAGTCTAGGGATAATTATTCCCCTCTATGGAGGCAGGCCCGTCCACATACTCTACCCAATGTCCCATGAATCATGAGGCTGTCTGGTCTGGCTGGTGGGAACAGGCACTATCCCAGCGCTATGTGAGCCTTGAGCACCATCCCCTCTATTCCTTTTGGATGGTGCTTCGGCCCCCTCTGGTAGTTTCCTCAGACATACGCACCGATCAGCACTCTGCTGAAACTCAAGCGAGACCCTCCACAGATCCCCGGTGTTCTCTCTCTGTGGAGCTCTTGCCTCTCCGATACTCAGCCCTATAAACTCTACCAGCCTTGATCTCCCCAGACTCTCAGCTTTGTCTCTGTAACTCAAGGAGTCTGCCAGGTTCCACCTGGATTCCCCCTTCCTGAGTGGCAACCTGGAAACTCTGTGAAGCCAGTTAGCTGGGAGCAGTCATAAGGCTCACCTCATTTGCTTCCTGTCCTTGAGATCATTGTCTTCTACTGCCTACTGTCCAGTGTCTTAAAAACCTTTATCTCATATATGTTATCCTTTTTTTTTGGTTGTTTCACATAGGAGGGTAAATCCAGTCCCTGTTACTCCATCTTGGCCAGAAGCAGAAGTACCCATTATAGTCTCCGAATATGAAAATATGTTGAATTAATCTGAAGCCATTTTAGGGTAAGAATGAGTCCTTACCTTATCAACGTGTCATCATCCACAATGACCAACCACGGTATTTTGTCATGGCTATGATTCAAAAATCTTTCCAAAATGGCAAATGTCTTTCCACAATGACCTGAGAAAGGCAAAAAGAAAACTTACATTGTTATTTTCCATACAAATATATAGTTCATTTTGAAATACATTTTTTGGGTTTTCTGTTATAAGTGCTTGAACGCCAACATGCATTTTGATAATTTGAAACTTCAAAAAATTAGCCTTTTCTAGCTTTCGTGGACACAGTGAACCATGTGGAACTTCAGAGGTCATGAAGTTTGTGCCATTCTTTCATACATGAGGAGACTGAGAGAAATGAGGGGACGTAACAGGATCACACTGCTAAATTGAAGCAGAGAACAAAATCTACTGCCGCTGAGTCGATTCTGACTCACAGTGACCCTCTAGGACGAAGTCGAACTGCCCGGATCGTCTTCTGCACTGCACTTCATTCATCGAGGAATTATGAGTGACACTAAGGTAAACCATTCAAGATAAATTATAGAACAAGATAATCAAAGCTTGTTACTTCATCTTTCATTCATGAAAGGATATGGGGAAGCAGAAAGTAATAGAAAAAAAAAGCGACAGGAACACTGGATACAAATTCAAATGAACCAAGACCATGTAAAGGTGAGGTGGCCAACTTCCTACTTTAACGACTGAAATGAAACGTGTGTAATCAGAAAATCTGCAACCTGGTGAGAAAAGCAGGTATACGTCCAATAATTTACTAATTAAAATACTAACAGACACGGCTACAATACCTATCATGGGGCTTACTGTACAGAGAACCAGTGCAGAGTGTGGTTAAGTACTTCTCAGAGGTCCATACAAAATGTAAACTGTAAGCTCTACGAGGACGGAACTGTCAGGTTCTTGCCTCATTCCCCAGCATCTAGCAGTGGCTGACATACAGCAAATCAAAATCGAACCCATTGCCATCAAGTCGATTCTGCCTCACAGTGACCCTATAGGACAGAGTAGTACTACCCCATAGGGTTTCCAAGGCTGTAATCTTTACAGAAGGAGACTGTCACGTCTTCCTCCTGTGGAGCAGCTGGTGGGTTGGAGCCGCCAGCCTTTTGGTTAGCAGCCGAGTGCTTAACCACTGCGCTACTAGGGCTCCTCTGACACACAGCAGTCAGATAACAATACTGGCTGATTAAATAGCTACAACCTAACAAGAAGGAACTTTGTGTGGGAAGATGATAAATTAACAGTGGCCACCACGTTTTATGGCCACAATAAATTACGAAGATACAGAAAATCTATTATTAGACCCTGCTGTAACCGTCATGTGCTCAGTCATACCCACATGACCTACAAAAACCTGGAACCCTTTCTTTATACTATACAGCCCTTAACGGGAAAGAACAAATCCCAATGTGGGTAAAAATGTTGGGTGGGGAAGGAAGGAAGGAAACCTACACAAGGCAAAAATTATAGCATCTATAAAATATTTAAGGAGGCCTGGTGGCGCAATGGCTAAGTGCTCGGCTGTTAACCAAAAGACTAGTGGTTCGAACTCACCCAACAGCTCCTCAGCAGCAAGGCCTGGCAATCTGTTTCTGTAAAGATTACAGCCTAGAAAACCCCATGGAGCAGTTCTACTCTGTCACATGGGGTCACTATGAGTTGGAATCGACTCGAAGGCAATGGGTTTGGTTTTGTTTGGTGTAAATATTCATGATGTACTTTGTGTTCTTTCCCCACACCAGGCATGCAGACATAAGTGTATGGAGAAACAAGTGGCATTCCACAGTATGAAGCCCCTTAATATATTTCACCATCCTCTTAGTGAGGGACGCTCAGCTTGTTTCCTACTTTTTGCTATCTCTAACAATACTGCAGTGAACATCTGTGTACCTTTCTCTTACGATGTTGTTGTCGGGTGCCATCGAGTCAATTTTGACTCACAGTGACCCCATGAGACAGAGTACAACTACCCTATCAGGTTTCCTACGATGTAATCTTTTCAGAAGAAGCCCTGGTGGCTCAATGGTTAAGCGCTTGGCTGCTAACCTAAAGGTCAGCAGGTTGAACCCCCCAGCAGCCCCGTGGAAGAAAGATGTGACAGTCTGCTTCCGGAAAGATCACAGATTTGAAAACCCTATGGGATAGTTCTACTCCGTCCTATAGGGTTGCTATGAGTTGGAATCACCCAGATCAACGGGTTTTTGTTTAACAAAATATTTCATTTGAACCCTAACTTAAGTGACTATGTTTACAAAACGGAATTTTATAGAGGGGGAACAGTAAGAAGACTCACCTCTGTCTGTGTTAGGAATTCCCAAATCTACAGTAGGAATGGAGCTCTCCGTGTAGTCACTGTAATACTCAATGAGACCTGCTTCTGCTTCCCAAGTCTGCTTTACGATGGGTACTGGAAAAGTCAGAGAGACAACAATCATGTCATTACGCACATTGACATAGGGATCCTGCAAACTCAAAACAGCAGCGTGAGCACCCAATAAAGAAAGAGAACCATTCCTTGAGCTTCAGGTGTTCCAAAATTTAGTGCTTGCTTTTCAAGCCTGAGAAACACCAAGGCTGTTTGCTGGTGATGGCACATGACTAAGTCCTCTTCTTCAAGCATCTTCAGTATCCTCCTAGGCAGAGCACTTCGCACTCCTGGTGACAAATATACTTACTTCCAGATGATGCTAAATGTTCTAGTCTGAGAACACTCTTAATTTTAATTAATGTTTCTCTTTTCTGAAAAGGGTATTTCATTTAAAATTCACAATGGGATTTAAAAAATGCTTATTTGGAGTGGGGAAGACAGAATTACTTCTAAGGACTGGATTTTTTTTTTTCCTGGAAGCTTTTCTACTTCATTTTTTAAAATTTTATATATTTTATTGTTGTTGTTGAGAATACATACGGCAAAACACACACCAATTCAACAGTTGCTACACGTACAATTCAGTGACCCCGATTACATCCTTCAAGTGTACAACCATTCTCAGCCTCCTTTTCTGAGTTGTTCCTCCCCCATTAACATAAACTCACTGCCCCCGAAGGTTCCTAGCTAATCTTTCCAGTAGTTGTTGTCAGTTTGATCCCATATAGGTAGTTCTTTAATACAGCACAATACTCAAGGCAGACTTTTGTTTACAAGTTAAACTACTGTTTGGTTTTAAAAAGACTTCAGGGGATATTTTTAGTATGAGGTTTACAGATTATGTCAAGAAAGTAGTTTCAGGGGTTCATCCAGCCTCCATGGCTCCAGAAGTCTGGAGACCACGAGAATTTGAAATTTTGTTCTGCACTCCCCTTTCCCCCTTTGATCAGGATTCTTCTCTGGTCTTATGGCAAAGGAGGCAGTTGTTCATGGAGGCAATCAGTCACACATTCCATATCCTCCTCCTATTCCTGACTCTCCTTCTTCCTCTGTTGCTCCAGGTGAACAGACCAACTGTTGTGCCTTGGATGTCTGCTTGCAAGCTTTTAAGACCCCAGGCACTACACAATGAACTAGGAGGTAGAACAGAAGCACTAAACATGTTATTAGGCCAGTTGACTGGGATGTCCCGGGAAACCATGACCCCAAACCTCCAAAACCAAGGAACCAAATCCCATGAAGTATTTGTCTGTACAAAAGCAGGCACTGGAATATTTTCCTGTGGCTCTGGCTGACATGTAAAATTTGGCTCTCTTACAACAGAGATGGGAGGGGCCCATTTCAAACTATGCATGTCCCCACTCAAAGATTTTAACAGGTGAACCCAACCCTATAATGAGCATGTCCTCATCACTGGGACCATGGTCTATGATTGGTGATATTATTGTATCGTACTTTTGGAAAATGTAGAAGAAATAAGATTAAGAACCACTGCAAAATTTAACGTTAAACTCAAATTACCATTAACAGATAGTTTTTATGCAAATACACACACACACACACACACACACACACACACACACACACAC